GGTGGCTGCAGCCAGGGCTCGTGCCATGGATTTGTGCCGTGCTGGGAGCCAGATCCAAGCCTGGCAGTGGCTCAGCCCTCCGGGGGAGCAGGGAAGCATTTCCCGGGCAGGGGATTAAACACTCGGAGCTGCCAACGCCAGAGCCACGTGCCTGGACACGGGAACAGCTTCCAAACTGCAGGTCCCTGGGGAGCCCTGGTGCTTTGATACCCCCACCAGGACCGTGGCCCCTCAGTCAGGGATGGGAGAGGTGCCAGCTGCCTCCCTGCCCCCTGCCAGGAGTTTCCTTGCATTTCCACACTCGTGTCCCTGGTGTAGGGGCTGTGTCCAGCTGCTGGTTCATGGCTGTGGTGGCTCAGCCCTGCCTGGGGCAGGGTTATAGCACCCAGTGCCACCAGCAACACTCCTGGCCCTGGCTCCTGTTTAATGCCACTGTGGGGTTTGTCCCCTCACAGTGGGTTTTAGCTGGTTCAGTCACCTCGTTCTGCCCCAGCACCCACCCTGCTGGGGAACTGCAGAGCTGACAAGGGCTCCTGCCACCTGTGGGTGCTCTGGGATGTGAGACACACTGGGCCAAATCCTGGCTCAAACAGGTTTCCCCCGTGGCTTGAGCCAAGTCCCTTGGCCACTCCCTGCCTCAATGTCCCCTGTGCAGGGTTAACTCCATCTCAGGGAGATCAGGATCCACTGAAATTCCAGGTGGAGGAGATCCCAAGCTCGTGTCTGCCAGCTGAATCCCTGGCTGCCTCCTCATGCCATGAAACCTGAGCTCAGGGCTAACAAGCCCCAGGACTGTCCCTTTGAGCTCATCTGCTGCCCACATTTTGGTACCAATCACCTCCTGCCTGTGTGCAGCCTCTGGACCCTCGTGGTTTCCTTTCTCCCCCTCCTGCCAGCACTCCACAGCCCAGGGGTCCTTGATCTGGTGTCCCCCCTTCATGCTGGGGATGTAATCCCAATTTTCTGGTGGATTTTGGAACAAGGGCCACGAGCCTGGGCAGAGCAGTGGGCTCATGGCCGGGCTGCTGCACGTGGGGGTAGGTGGGACTGCAGCAGGGGCAGGGATGGGGCAGGGGTGGGGCAGGGATGGGGCAGGGATGGGGCAGGGATGCTGCCATTCCCAAGGCTGCCCTGGGGGCTGATGTCACATTGTGCCACCGTGCCATTGCTGGTGGCTTTGCCTGGGGGGTCCCTGGAAGTCTGTACCTGCCCCCAGGTCCCCATGGTGTCCATCACTCCGTGTTCCCAGGGCTGGAGGACTCTTCCCCAACCTCCAGCACCTTCCACAGCCATTCCTGGCTGCCCCCCATGGGGCTGGATGGAGGAGCAGGGCCATCCCTTCCCCTGGGAAGGGGCTGAAATCCGCTGGGTGCCAGCTGGGATTGCTCAGGGCAGTTATTGCCCTCCAAACATGGGGCTGATCCTGCTGTGATCCCCTTCACCATGGGGAAATGTCCCTATTTTGGCATTCCCAGCACTGGTTGCAGGGCTGGATGCACTGCCAGGAGGGTTTTGTGGGAGCAGGGCTTTCGGGGGATGTGGGAGCACAGATGGAGAGGAGTGGAGGATGTGGAGGATGTGGAGGGGGCTGCAGCTGGAGTCCTCTTAGGTTTTGCCTTGTGGGTGCCTGGCAGTGCCCCCCAGGCTCAGACACTGCCTGGCTGTGAGCAGGTTAACACGGTCCTAGCACAGCCTAAACTAACAAATTCTGGGGGTTTTAGTTACTTTTCTTTTTTTTTTCATCTTTGCAGCTTATTTTTCCAGCCATAAAAACTAATAAACCCAAGTACAAAAGCTGCATTTTTTGACTATGAAAGCAGCTGTTCTCACACACTGAGCTGATCCTAAAGACTCAGGCTTTTAAAAAAACAGCAATCCTGAAATCCAGGGAAATGGGAGATAAACTGGGCGGGATGATGGGAATCACCCACCTGGGGCTGGGCCTGGGGCCCTGAGGGAGGTGAAATCATAGAATCACGGGGTGGTTTGGGTCGGAATTACCTAAAGATCATCCAGTTCCAACCCCCTGCCATGGGCAGGGACACTTTCCACTAGACCAGGTTGCTCCAAGTCCTGTCCAACCTGGGATAGAACACTTCCAGGGAAGTGATGCACTTGGAACACCCCAGACATCCATGGCTCAGCATCACCCTGCCCTGGCTGGGGAAAATTACTCAGTCCAGTCTGCACTAGGAGTAACCTCTGAGTGCCCCAGGAGCAGCCACACACTTTGGTTTTCCCTCCTCTGCCAATTTAAGCAAGAATGTGCTCACACACAACCTGATAAAGACAGTTTAGAAGACTTGATAAAGGTACAAACCACACCTACTTACATCCTCTCTGGTCTTTCTGCTCGACTCAACGATAAGGATCTGGCCCGTTTTTGGCTGATCCCCACCCTGCCTTTCTGGGGGTGTTCCTCCTCTCTGAACCTCTCCCTTCCTGCCAGCATCTTGTTGGGGATGGGATGCCCCAAACTCAGCTCAGCTCATCACGAGCACCAACACATAGAACCAGAGAAATCAATCCCCTGCACAGCCCCAAACTGCAGCTCTGCAAACTCAAACTCTTCCAGGGGTTGTCCCGTGTCCTGTGCTGGTGACAGCTCCATCCGGCAGCAGATCGGAGCCTCAGGCTCTTCCTGGGAATTCACCAAGGTCTGGAAGTCTTTAGGCAGAACAATGTTGCCCTAAACCCCCTTAATTTGGCCTCGAAAACAATGGGACCGATTTATAAATCACCGTTTTGCAGTTGCAGGATTGACTTTGAGCCCTGGGAACACACCTGGGGTGAGGTGGGGAGATAACGCTTTTCCGGGCTACTCTGTACTTTAACATTGGGGAACTTTTCTAAAATACAAACTACATTTGTCCTGAGATCACCTGATGCCAGAAATCGGAGTTTTTAAAGAAAAGCAGCAAAATAACATGAGGAAAAAAATAACACAAGACATAAATGCCCCCCCTCCCCGTGCTCCGGACGCAGGAATTACCTGCCCCGTGAGATCTGCCAGTGGATTTTCTGTTTGTGAAGGACGGAGCCCAAGCCACACTCCAGTCCTTCCATTACAAACCAGCACCCAGAGCCAAACGCAACGTAGGTAGAGGATACAAACTCGCCACACCCAGTGAAAATAACCCACCAAACCCTGTCCCGACCCTTTAACATCCTTGAGAACCCCCTGGCCCCGACCCAGCCAAAGCCCGACCGAGCTTTGTATGTGGGAACGCGCCGCGGTTCAGGCTGCCAGCTCCCCCTCTCCGAGTGATTTTCCCCAAGAAATCGCGGACCCCGGGAAGGCAGAAAGCCCTGGGATTTGTAGAAATAACAGGCAGCAGCTTCACTAAGCGACCCGGCTCTGAGAAGTGACGGCGGTGACAGAGCGAACCTACCCCAGGCTGCAGCGGCGCAGAGCGCCAGGATCCCCAGCGCCAGCCGGGCTCGTCCCATCTTCTCCTCCGAGCCCCGAGCGCGGGGGGCCGCTTGGACCAGCCCCTCTGAGAGGGCTGGGGAGCAGCTCGGGAGGTTTTGAGCAGCCCAGGAGGTGAATCATGGGTCGGGCTGGATGACACACATGGCGAGCGGAGGAAACTGCGCCGGGCTCGTCAGTCGGGAGTCAGGAGTGCCCCCGCCCGCCCCGCCGCCGGCTCCTCATGCTGCTCTGGCTCTCTCAGCTCGCACAGGGACCTAAAAAACCCTGGCAGCGAGTCCTCGGCACTGGTGACCTGCAGCCGCGGGGCTGGTAACAGGCTCTTTCCCATAGGCTCTCCCGCCTGGCTTTAATTCCTCGCAAAATCTTACGCGCTCCTTCCTTTCGTTAACTCTTGCGGGAAAGGCGGCTCGTTTAATACCCCGGCTGAGCCGCCCGAGCTCAAGGATTTAAGGAGAAATAGAGCAAATACACGCTGATATGAAGGGGGGGTTCTCCGCCCCCCCCCCCCCTCCCCCAGAGATGGGCAAATGGGAAAATCCCAGCTGGGATCTGAGGGAGACCCAGCCAAAAATTGGACCCGGTGGAACCAGCAGTTTGGGTATAAACCTGGACATGGGTTCAGCTTGGGGTCAGATAGTTTGGACCTGATTTTCTTCTTGCTTGTATTGTTTTTTCCCCCCTCTGTGTCCTCAGGAACTGCTCCTGTGCTAAGCAAGTACAGGGAATGGGATGTGCACAGAAATGATGGAGCTGCCTGTGGATGCCTCCCAAAGGGGTTTTATCAACATCTCATTGCCCTACAACACCAAGGGCAGAGACAGGGGAACTCCACAGACAGGTTGGGGGGCAAAAGAGAGAGAAGAGCTGTTTCCCTGGAGCCCTGGGTTGCTCTCTCCCAGCGAGTGACAGGGGTTGGGGACAGCAATGAGGCAACCCTGGCTCAAAATGATCCAACTCACAGAAATGCCAGGCAGTAAAAATGAGCTCATATTGGTGCCAAGAGCTGCAGCCACAGCCTGGCAGTGCCAGAGGCTGCAGGGGATGTGCCCAGTGCTGTGTGAGAGCACAGCCCCACGCCAGGAGACATGGGGATAACAGCACCTGTCCCACATCCCACGGATCTCAAGGAGGTGGCAGTGCCTGTGAGGGTGAGATGGAGATGTGGACTCTGCTTCAGGATCTGGAGCTTTCCTTGGCTTTGACAGAAGATGTTTTGATGCCTCTTGGCTTCCCCAGCAGCCCCCATGGTCCCTGTGGGTGCTGCTGTCCCCCCATGGTGTCTGGGCTCTGCTCACTGGGATCACTGGGATCACTGGGATCACTGGGATCATTGTCTGCCTGGGATCCAATTCCCTCTCCAGGGGTTGTTATTGAGGATTTGGCAAAGGGGACTAGAAGTCCATTGACCCTCAGGTGGTGTCAAAAAGGGCTTTACCTTGGCTGAGACATCAGTACAACCCCCAGACCTGCTTTTGGGTAGCTCTAGTCTTGCCCTGCTTCAGACTCCAGAACCACCTTGCACTGCAGACCCCATTAGCCAGTTTTAGGGCATTCAAATTCCTTATTTTCTGCCTGGACGTGCTGCCTACATGGTTTTCTGCCCACATGGCTGCCTGTGCCCATGTGCCACCCTGTGTCACTCTGTGACATGTCCAAGTGCTTCCTGGGAGGGACAATTAATTCATCTGAAGTGTCCAGAGAGAGCTGTGGGACCCTGCTGGGCTCTGCACACCCCCAGACCTGAGCTGCCATCCGTGGCCTGGGCTCTCTTCACCAGGGACTCATCCTGCCCAGCACCCAATTGCCCAAAGTGGCAAGTGCTGCTGCTCCCAAGGGTCCTGCAGCTCCCTGAGTCCTGGAACTCCCTGCCCAGCGTGGGCTGTGATACTCCCAGCATGGTGTAAAAACTCTGAAGAAGAAGAAAAACGTAATAAAATGAAGTATTTCACCTGCCTGGACCTTCCCAGGCTGGTCATGCCTGAGGACAAGGATGGCATGAACTTACCCAGCACGTTTCGGTGGAATTTCCCAGCCAGCTGCAGGAAGGTGCTGCTTGTCCTGGAAAGGTCACTGGGATGTGGATGTCCCATCCCTGGAAGTGCTCAAGATCACCTTGGACAGGGCTTGGAGCAACCTGGTCTAGTGGAAGGTGTCCCTGCCCATGGTTTGGGGGCTTGGAACCAGATGAACCCAAACCGTTCCAAGATTCCAGGATGTTACATCCAGGCACTGTGTAACAGGCAGTGGGATGCTCTGGATTTTGGGATCTGTGGTGGGACGAAGGCAGGAGAAGGCAGGGGAGTGTTTGGGAGCCCAGGCAGCCCCACTGCCCCAGGCTGTGACCCAGGAGTGTGTGTGCAGCCCAAATCCATGCTGGAGTGTGCTGGGAGAGGAGAGGCTGGAGCTGGAGCCACCAGAGGGAGCAGAAACTCCTTCAGTCTGGGAGCGAGCGGGGAGAGGAGCTCCCACCCACCCGGGCTGGGGCACTGCGGGTGCTCTGCTTTCCCGTGGGGATTTTTCCCGGCCCTCAGGTTAAACACGAGCAGCAGCTCGTTGGATCAGGGCTTTCACTTCCTCCCTGCAAGTGCTTCTTCTGCAAAGTGCCCTCACAGCGGGAGCAGCTCAGCGAGAGAAACACCAGGTGCTGAACAAGGAGGAAAATGCAACAAGTAAACCCCAAACCGAACAGTTCTGGGTCCCTAAAGTCAGGGCAGGGAGCAGGGGCACAGGTCCCTGCCCTAAAGGAAGATCAGCTGGCACTGCCCCTACAAAGCTCCCCCCACCCTTGGTCAGAGCAGGCTCCTGCCTTTGGCTGCAATTCCTCCATCCTCATTTTCGGTTTGTTACAATCCCCTCGGGGGCTGGGCAGAGGAAACGAGCCAAGATGGACATGGACAAACCGGGACAAGGTGCTCAGGCTCTGGTTTGGGGGTGACCTGCTGCTCTGTGCCATCCACACACGATTCCAGGCACACACCAAAGGGCAGAGCTGGGGAGCAGGGACACGGTGGTGCCACGGGCACAGCCTTGGGAGGAGCAGGGTCAGGGCTGAGCCAGCCATGGGTGGGCACCCTGACCTGGGGGGTCAGTTTGGGAGCTTGTGCGGACACAGAGAGGGGAGTGATGATGAAGCTTCCCCTGGGATTGTCCTGTGGGGGCTGAGGGGCCTGTGATGCTCCAGCCCTGGATGCTGCTGTGGGACAGGGCAGAGATCAGGGGCAGCACTGCAGAGCTGCCCTTCCAAGGGCCAAAGGAGCAGGAGGGGGGAGAAGAGAGAGACCAGTGTGCTCTGAGGAGGAAACCCCCGGCCAGAGGAACGGGGCTGGATCCAGCTCCTCCGGAGGCACAGGACAGGCATCGCCGAGCAGAGCTGGGGGTGGACCGGCTGCGTTGGGCTGCTCGGAGAACGAGTGGGTGGCACAGAGCAGCAAACAGGGATCAGCGGCGGCAGCGCTGACCGGAGGCTCACAGGAGCCTTCGGGGGAGGGGACAGGGACCGGCCGGGAGGAACAGCGACCGTGCAGGATGCTTTTGGGAGCAGGTGGGGGGGGCTGGAGGCAGGGATGAGTTAGGTGCTGCTCCACAGGGCCTCAGGGGTCAGCCCCCACCCGGGGGTGGCACTGGGCTGGGTGTGGGCACCCGTGGCAGGGCAGAGAAGGGGTGCCCAGCGTGGGGAAGGGGTGGGCAGCAGGGTGAGCGTGGAGGGGGAGGAAGGCGGTCCTGGGGGGAGGCTGGAAGGGGGTGGAGTTGCTGGTTTTGCTTCGAACACGGTGAGGACTTCAGCGTGGAACTTGCATTTGTGGAGCTCCCAGACGGCAGGCACCAGCTCTCCCTCCCGCGGGGGAGCCCCGGCAGAGGGTGGCACTGCTTTAGGGGGGCAGCTCGGGGCAGTGGCCAGGGCAGGGGGCATGGGGTGACCTCTGGCTCCTTCCTCTCCCCCGAGCTCCCTTCGCCTCTTCTCTCTCTCTCTCCTTTTGCTGGTTTGGGAGCTCGTGCCAACGCCGTGCCAGGAGGGATCTGGGAGCCAGCCATCCCTTGGCTGCGTCCCTGGCTTCCCACCTGCTCCCAGCCTCGGGGAAGTTTCCCTCTCCATCCCAGGCGCTGAGAGAAGAAAAGCAGGAGGTGCCCCAGAGCCCGCCAGGGGTGGGCAGGGGGACAGCCCAGCTTCCCTTCTGCCTCTCCTGAAGATTTTGGGATCGCTCGACAGACCATGAATGGATCCTTTTTCAACCAGACTCCCTCCTGGGAGCAGGGAGCTGGCCCCAACAGGACCCAGGGCTTGGGGGTGCTCATGGCCTGCTGCAACGGGACCAGCGCCGTGCTGGCCACCGACGGCGGCTCCTCGGCGCTGGCCCCCGACGAGAGGAGCCTCTTCATCACCAGGGTGGTGCAGATCGCCGTGCTCTGCGTCCTCTCCTTGACTGTCATGTTTGGCATCTTCTTTTTGGGCTGCAACTTGCTCATCAAGTCCGAGAGCATGATTAACTTCCTGGTGAAGGACCGAAGACCTTCCAAGGACGTGGGCGCTGCCATCATGGGACTTTACTGAGGCTCCTGTAGGCAAGTGAACTGTCTGGACCCGGTGCTGAGATGCACATTCCGTGTGTTTGGGGCAGCTGGGGGGGAGTGGGAAGGGAGGGAGGGGTCTTTTAATCTGTCTGTGTCCACGGGAAAGCAAACCTGTGCTTCCCAGCCAACAAACTGTCAGTGTGAAGATGTCCCCGGAGCTGGGTGAAGCACAGTGAGTGCCCAGCATCGTGTTGCATGCACAAATGGCTTAAGTTTTGCATGAAACTTGCAGAAACAGTGATAATGTGCAGATCTGGACTCTTTCCTGCTGTTTCCTTGGATACTGCTACCTGGGCTTGAGGGCTCAATTAAAACAAAATAATAAAAAAAAAGGTAAATAACTCGTTACAAAAAGAAAACAAAAGAACAAACTAAAGGGAAAGCAAAATGCAGGGCATAGACTTTGTCTTTGGCAGGGGCAGGGGAAGGGAAGCGCCCTGTGGGTCGTACAACCAAGTCTGCATGCTCCCAAATGTGTCAGTCCATGTGTCAGTGTTCTGGACCTTGAGCATGCACCTTCTGCTAGTTTTGTGACAGGGAAAGCATGTTCGTCCTTATTTTTCTGAGCTATCCTGTTAAATAAACTGGTACTTTCTTCTTTCACATTCTGCTGAAGGAAGAGAAGGACCCAGATAAACACCAACCCCACTCCACCCCCAAACCAAAAGCA